GCTTAGAAACGTCCGGGGGCTTTCCAGTAAACAGCTCCCACGGCGTCTGTACAGTCCCCTTCGTAGGACACACGTTGCGCAAGGCGTTGGCCGTCATTATTGCCTCTCCCCACAGCTCCGGAGGTACGCCCGAATCATATTGCATGGCCCGCACACGCTCCAGCAAAGTCCTGTTCAAGCGCTCCGCTGCTCCGTTTTGCTCTGGTGTATACGGTGCCGACTTCTCATGCACAATACCCCTCTCAGAAAAGAAGGAGGCAAGGCGATCGTTGACGTACTCCGTGCCGCAATCAGTTCGGACGCAACGAACTTCTAGACCAGTCTGCCGTTCCCACTTAGTCAAAACCTCACGAACGGCAGCGGGGACTTCGCTCTTTGCACGAACGCAACGAACCTCGGAGTATTTGCTAAAATCGTCGTAGAAGGTAGCGAAGTAGTTGGCTCCACCCAGCGACGTGACCGGCATCGGGCCGCAAAGATCCATATGGACGAGATCGAGCACGCGTTCGCCCTTGTGCGTCGATGAATGATGGGGGCTGCGGGTCATTTTTCCCATAACGCACGGCTCGCAGACCTTGCTCTCCGGATGAAGGCTTTCCTCGGGGCATGTGGGCTCCGAATGGACCAGGTCGTCAAAAAACGGCCTATCAAAACGGGTGAGGCTAGCATGCCCCATGCGACGATGCAAGGTGTCTAACTTTTCCTTGGGAAAGCGATGCAGGGATAATGCCCTATTCCACTCGGCATCTGGCTGCGCAAGCACGATGTACATCCCGTTCTCCTCGAACACATCGACAGCGGGAATTCCGTCTATTGCTATATACGAGCAATCAGCGGACAGGACAACCTCTACCACCTTATCCGGGAAGGATCTCTTCAGGGCCTTGACTGAGAACAGGCGGTGTTGCAGGTCCGGAACTACGTGTACAGGTACCGACAATTCCGTCTGCCCTCGAAAAGAGGCGAAAACCGCCCTGCCCTCACCAATCGAGCTAACCGTCCGCCCATCCGCCACCTCAAAAACGACACCCTCGCCCTCGCGCACCGGCTTCAGACCCTCCACGTCCTCAGGCGTGAAGGTCAGGTGATCCTCGGCTCCAGTGTCGAGAAGCCATTCACCGGGTGCCAGTCTCATTCCCCCAAGCGTGTTTATGACGCCAACTAGTCGCCGCCGCACGCCCTGGGCCTGTGGCTGCACTTGTGGTTGTTGTTGTCGTTGGCGCATGAAAGGCTGGGGAGGTGGTGGAGGGGGAGGCGGCGGCGGCGGCGGTGGTGGTGGCGGATATGGCTGTCTAAGCTTCGGACACTTGGCAACCAAATGGCCCTGCTCCTTGCAGTAGAAGCACTTCCTGTTGTCCTTCTTCTTGTGTGGCGCCTGCCGCGCGACGTTGTAGGCTCCCTTCACGGGCGACTTCTTGGTCTCCGTATCAATCTTCTGCTCTTCGACAAGTAGCCGCATCTCCAGCTTCTCGATGTCGTCTACGTCGGTGGTATTCTCTATGACTGTGCGGATCATGGCATACGTATCAGGTAGGCCCCTCAAGACGTGGTCCACCGCCTCGTCGTCCGCCAAGCTAAGTTCGATGGCCGCAAACTCTAGTCGAAGCGCTTGGAACCGAGCGATGTAGTCGCTGATCGTCTCGCTCGATTCCATCTTGAATTGGGTCAACCTTTGAACCAATAAGCTCTTCACAGCTCGAGTCTGTTGCCCATACTTAGCCGCCAAAGCAAGCCACAGGTCGTACGCCTTCGCGTGACGCGCGTACAGGGCTTTCTCCAGGACGCGGATGAATTCCTTGATAACGCCCAAAGCTCGCTGGTCTTGCTCGTCTGTCACTGCATCTCGCGTAGCCTGCACGGGGCTGATCGCGTTCACTAGTCCTTTACGTTGAAGGACGCCGATGACGTGCTCCTTCAAGAGGTGAAAGGTGCTAATGGAGAAATAAAAATCCTCCTTATCTATTTTCATCCTTGCCTACAGCTAAGTCCGCACACAGCAGAAAAAGGCACCACCGGGCAAATCGGATGACCGCACGCTAAAGCGCGGGGCTCATAACCTGTTAGGGATAAGAGTCCTCCAGTGAACACATCACTCGCTCATATCGTTACACAAGGAGAGAGAGAGAATGGATACGCAAGCAGTATATAAGCATACCGTAGCCAATCCTGATCCGATGTCGTATTGAGATAAAGGCAACCAATCAAACTACCGAAGTGTCAAGCCTGAGTGTACCTAAGAGTACTTTCCAACAGTAAACCGTATCATCGACCACCAGTACATATGATTTGGACTACAGCGTGAAACTTACAAAGCGCCAACAGACAGGCACTGGCAGCGGTACGTACAACGGGTAATTCAACCATGCCAACCAGGGAACAAACGCGACGAAATCCCCCTCAATCTAAGTATCATCCACAACGGAAAGGAAGGCAAGTTCGACTACGATAAGCTTCAAGACCAGCCCCCCGCCATGTCAATAATCTCATCTGGTCAAGTAACGTTTCACAGTTCAGCACAACATCGACAAGTGGATGCTACATACTTTCAATGTATGCACGCGCGCATACATGTAGCAACAAGAAGGAGGCGGTGTGAACGCCAGATGCACATGTCATGTGTGCAGCTTACTAGGAACAACGCAGGTGTCGCCCACCGAGTGGTTGCGGGCCAACTCTGACCTGGACCTCTAACATGTTGCCCCACACATACACATACAAAGGGGGCCGCAGGTGAAGCTATACCATCCTGTAACAACATACATACAAACATATGCACGTGAGCAGGTAAACACAGCGCAGAGGACGCAGGGAGGGAAGGGCAAGGAATGGCATGGGAGCGCAGGTGAAGTCCACAACGGCCAGGAGACAGCAGAGGGGGGAGGGCGGTGGGGAAGTGCAGTGTGGAAGTGGGGTGTGGGCTGGGGACGGTGGGAGAAGTGAGGGGGAATTGGGGAACCTGGTGACGTGGTTAAAGAGCGTGTGCGAGTTCTGTGAGGGCCCCGTGGAGGAAGAGCAGGGGTGGAGTGGTGGGCTTGGGGGCAGGGACTAGGGGGGGGAGCGTGGGG